AATGGAAATAAAAGTCCATTTGACACTTTGAGACCAGTGATTGGCCACTTAATTGAAAAAATCAGTTAAAGTGGGAAATTTTTTTATATCTTTAAAATAAATATAAATTTAACTTAAATAAATATTAGTCAATAATTCGATGAAGAGCCAAGGCCCTTCTTTTAAATAAGTATGCTATTTTAATTTCTTTCAGGTCTTTCTTAACATAAGCCACACAAAAGGCAATGTCTATGATTTCTATTTTGCTTTATTTCAAGTGAAAAAAAAAAAAAACTGAAGGATACTTGCAATACATAGAAGAGCAGAATGCTTTTGGATTTTTATTACATTTTACACTCTTTTACAGTTTCCTCACTCACACCTAATTTTACAGCGTTTCTTTTTAGCAGCATTTTTAATAGATGTTTCCAAAAGGTTTTACTTAATTTTTTTTTAGTATAAGAAAAAAATGTCTATTATTTATTATGCTGAACAATTCTGACCACCAACAACCAATGGGGGACAGGAGTGAAGAACATCTTGCTTCTCAACAAATTTTTCTCCCTTCCTCTAACATTTTTGAGGATTATTTCCCAGACGTATCACACCTACATTATGACAGTTACAAATTTTCCAACTCTGCCACTCCTTCCAGTGCATTATTTTTAGTATCTTCATTAAAGGGGCAAAAGAAAAAAGATCCCCTAGCTGTAATAACGAAACAATGTTGGAAACAGTCATTAAAATAGGACAAGTGAAAAAAAGATCTGTTCACAGACTTTCAGGACTATAAATGTAGGAAGTACACACAAAAATTAAAAATTTATTATACTCCATAGGATACATTAAATATGTACAGCTTTTTGTATGTCAGTCATACCTAAGTAGTTTTAAAACAAATGATCCAACCCATACCACCAACTAATAAAGAAAAAAACAAACAAATGAGTCATGCAAAAGAAAAATCATACATTTTGGTTTACTCCTACTTTGAATTAAGAACACTAACAATAATTTGCATGCAATGAATACAGTTCCCTAAATACAACAGATGAATTATTGTATATATAGATCTTATTTTTATTTATGGAGAACTGGTTAATAAACACATTTTAAGTTCAATATATCATGTATTTATGAGTGGGAAGCAACTTCAAACATTTTAAACACCAGAAATATAGAAAACAATTAGAAGTGAAATAATACAAAGTGCCTTGTGTATTGATCCTGGAGTCAAACCATAGAAATCTCAGATTATTAAGAGAACTTTGAAAAATATTGTTTTGAATATTAAAAATCATGTGTTTGGGGGAAGGAGAGAATTAATAGCCTTCCTTTGCCTTAAAATACTTTACATTTTATGAAATTGCAATTGGAATGATGCAGCTCCTAAAGTAGTCAAGTGTTCAGAGGAGGGAAAAATTGAGCATAGGAGCAAACTATTGTTTTGCTCAACTCCTTCACAATGCTCAGCTGAAGAGGTTCACACTTAAAAGAGCTGCTGAAGGCCAGTCTCCATGGCTCATGCCTGTAATCCCAGCATTTTGGGAGGCTCAGGTGGGTGGTTCTCTCAAGGCCAGGAGTTTGAGACCAGCCTGGTCAACATGGTGAAACCCCCTCACTAATAAAAAATACAAAAAAATTGGCTGAGTATGGTGGTGGGTGCCTGTAATCCCAGCTACTCAGGAGTCTGAAACAGCAGAATCACTTGAACCCAGGAGGCAGAGATTGCACTGAACTGAGATTGCACCACTACACTCCAGCCTGGGCAACAGAGCAAGACACTGTCTCAAAAAAACAAACAAAAAAGCTGCTGACATCATTTCTGTTTTAGAAAGGTAGTATAAATGAGTTTTTCTACATATTAATTACAATTTATCATAATTTGTGAAATGTTTTTCTGTTTTTAAATGTAAGAGTCTGTATCTGTCTCCACTCACAAAGCAACAGGCAATGCTAGGGGTCTTAGGTTAACATCTGCCACCCCACCAGTCTGCATGGCCCATAAATAGGTGTGGAGAGGACCAGAGTTCACCTGTCGGTAACGCCACGGAATCTGACTCTCCAGTCTTTCTGCCATTAATTCCCATAGATGTGGCCTTTTCCCTGATATTCTATTCCCATTGGAGGCTTTTTATTAAGATCTTATTCCTGTGAACACATTTGGAGCACAACATATTGTCTTTAAGGTGTGGGGGTGGAAAATTGGAGGCACTCACTCTCCCTTCTTGCTTCTCTGGAACCCAGGCTTGACCAGCATGAAACTGCAGGTGAACCCAAGCATCTATGTCTGCAGGGAGACGTTTCCCCTGTACCACACACCACCACCTGACACCACAGGCCTCTTGTGGAGATTCCACTGTCTCTGGTATCCTTGGCCTGGCTGAAATTCTTGCCCAGGAGGCCAGCAAAGCCTCTGGGGCAGAAATTGTCACCACAACTATATTAGCTCCCTCAAGGAGAGCAGTGGACTTTTCCAGGGCAGGCAGCCCCTCCTCAGGGAGAAGACCCACTTCAGGAGGATGTGTCTCAGAACTTTGCAGGACGTTTCCCCTGTTTCCACCGTTAATTTTTTTTTCAATGATTTCCGGATTTTGGCCTTTTTTGCTGTGCTAGGAAAATCCTTTTGATTTGGGTAGACAAAGGCACACAGGTACCAGGCCGCAGAATGTCCCAGTGAATCAGATTAACAGGCGGCAGTTTAGAGGGTAATGGAGGGATTGGTATCTTCTGAGGTCTGGGGTTGTCACTGTACTCTGCCTTCTTAGGGCAGAGCACTTTGTTACCCTTGACAGATATTTTTCCTTTGGTTCCCTTTGCTGATGTTCCTGACAAAGCAATTGTGTTTGGTTGATTAGAAGCCTGCTGATCTCTTCCCTCAACTTCTCTTTGGATGTCTACTCCTTTTCTTTTGCCTTCTCCATACTCAGAGAAGAAGCAGAGCTTGGCAAGATGCTTCCAAAATGGCCCCTGGCCCAAGATTCTACTTAATTTTTATAGAAAAAAATAACTTTCACACTCATGTATTATTGGTTTATGTAATATTTATTTAAATAACCTAATTCAGTTAGAACTATTGTCACAGACTGGCACAAACAAGTTTGGGAACAAACTCAATTGATTCTTGGAGTGGCAGCTTACAGGTATACAAGAGAAGGGTCTAACAGCTTCAAACTTAAAGTATGCTGTGACCATTGTTATGTTTCAGAGGAAATAGAGAGCATCTGTGAATCCAGTGAGTTATGAAGGTTGGTTGATAGAGCTCCCACCTTATTTAATAGAACTAAAAGAAAACCAAAGAACTTTTTCCTTTCCCTTCTGCTCCCCTTCAAAGTTTCCTCCTCCTAAGATGGAATACTCAACTGCTGCTACCAATCAATATATAAAAATAAAGGTGGCAAGAAATATATAAATAATAATTTTCAAGATGAAGGCAGCAGTTTGGCAAACACTATGTTCCATGCCTTTCTTCCTTGGCTTAGCATGGACTAACAGTAGAAATGAGTTAAATAAATATGTAGGAGAAGGATGGTGCCAATGGTGTTGACCCTAGCTTCCTCATTTCAGCATCCAAAAATTGAGAAGATACACATACAGCTCTCTGAAGCTAAGTTGGCACAGTAGTGATACATATTTTTGTCCATGCCGCACCAAGCTGGCTTTCATCCCCATGACCATTTTTCTGACAAAAAGAAGAGCTAGGCTTGATTTTTTTAATAAATGACTTGTATTATTTTGTTTGTTTGTTTGTTTACTTGGGTTTTTTGGGGGAGGGAGGTTGTTCTTGTTTTTTGGTTTTTGATTTGTTTTTTCTTGAGACAGAGTCTTGCTCTGTTGCCCAACATGATCTCAGCTCACTGCAGCCTTCACTCCAGTAGGGACTCTGTGTGAGGGCTGCAAACACACTGAGTTCTCTATTCTGATCCATTGGTTAACATGTCTGTTGTGATGTCTAGACCATGCTATTTCAGTTATATAGCTTTATAGTATATATTGATTTCTGACAGTGTGATGCCTCCAGTTTTCTTCTTTTTGTTCAGGATAGCTTTGGCTATTTTGGGGTCTCTTGTGGTTTCATACAAATTTTAGGATTTTGTATTTCTGTGAAGAATGTCACTGGTATTTTCATAGGAATTGCATTGAATCTGTAGATCGCTTTTGGTAGTATGGTCATTTTCACAATATTAATTCTTCCAATGACATGGAATAC